TTAATGGTTTGAATACATTAGTTAGGCGTTACCCTAATATCTGACCTCATCTCTGAAGTTAGGTTAGTTGTCGAAATTGAGTTATGTGCATAAAGACTTAAATGAACAATATTATTATAAACCATTAGACATATTAAATTATTAACTCTAAAGAATAACTGACGTTAGGCTCATTTGAAAGAATCAATCTCGGTACAGCCAATACGCTGCCTACCGCTAAGATTTATTTTAATACTGATTTTAAGGTAGACCTGTACTGCCATAAAGTGTAACGAAAGCTTAGAAGAGGACTGGTAAGAAGAAAAATTGCACTCTAGTACCGCAGTTATCTGTCATCGTTGTCCAGATAGTATAGAGTTATTCTTTAGAATGTAAGTCAAAAAGTCAACTTAAAATACAAAACTTTTGTTCCATTTCTATTAGTTGTTAAAGTGTTTATCTATTAAATTTGTAACCCATCTATCTCGCCTCAGCCTTGACAATTTTGTCTACCTATTCACGTGCCAACAAATAAAGAATTAATTTCCGCTGTTTTCGTGTTACTGAAGTCATTTGACTGACAAGTTTCATGTTTTAATTAGTCTGTTTTATTTCAAATAATAACATTTAAAAAACAAAAACAACAGAACTATGATTGTAAATATATTGAATATTTACATGATGAAAATGTACTCTCATTGTTTTTTTTTTAAAAACTAAATAGAGGTGACTAACGCGAAGAAAATGCATGCAATTTCTTTGTCAATTTTCCGAGTAGCGTCACCTTCACTGGCTTCGGTTATCAGTGTTTTTTTTGTTATAATAACGCTTTGATATAATATAACGTCTATGTATATCAATATCAGGTGTTTCCACGAATATGATTGCGGAATTCCAACAATGATAACATTGAGACTCTCTAAGGAGACTTGGTATGTACCTGCATGTTTACCGCGTCATTTAAGATGATGTAACCTACTTTGTTATGGAGAGTGAAACTTCACACTGAGTACCGTTGCAGACACGGTCATTATCGTTCAAATAGAATTGTTAGAGAACTATTGAATAGCTTTTTTTTTGGCTTTTCTATACGACTTTAACGAAGATTTATTTTATTGCTTTAGCTGAATATATGAGCGCACTGTCTACCTGGTTTATAATGGTTGGCGGAGACCATAAACATAACAAAAGCGCATGTGGCTTCACACTGTGAACATGAGTGTGGAATAAGTATTGTGAAATATCGATCTTTCTTTTAAAACAAATGTGCACGATCGACTTCAAAATTATAATTTACGTAATTAGTGGTGGCAGGACGTCTTGTCAGTCCGCACGGATAGTTACCACCAAGCTGCTTATTTCTGCCGTGAAGACGTAATGCGTGGGGCAACCGTTGTGCTCTAAAACCTGAGACCTTAGAACGAATGTCTCAAGGTGTTTGGGGCAGCATTCACATTGTATTTGTCTATGATGGCTCCGGTAACAACTTAACGCCAGGTTGGCCGAGAGCTTGTCAACAATTCTAAGCAATTAAAAAAAAATGAAACAAAAAATAGGTACGATGATAACTTCACAGGTCTAGGTTGAAAATATGGCATCCCATCAAATGAGATGAGGGTTGTGGTAGCAGTATCTAGAAACCCCGGTCGGCGGTGTATCGCGTTCCGACCCGGCAGGCTGGTTCTGGCCCAGCGGGCTATTCCGGAACACCAGCGGCATCGCCCGGGCAGCCTGGTAGGGCCGCCGTACCGCGGAGACAGACGTCGTTGGTCGTCGACTATCGCCTCGACGACCCGTCGGTCGGGCGTCCTCGGGGTGGCGCCGCGTGTCTGGTTGTAGTATTGACCGCGGGAACCCTCCTACTCTGACCGGGTTCTGACCCCGGACGGAGATCGGACGTCGGATGTAAGAGTGCAGGGGAGTCGTTTAGTGCGTGGGCCCGCGATCTGCTCTCAACACCTGCAGATCGTTGAGTCTCACATACCCCGCGCGCCCCCTATGCGCGGGGACCTCGTAGGAGGTTAGGCCCCAGGCCCGAAAAAAAAAAAAAGAAAGCCGTATCTAGAAATGGCCCAAGTCGTGAAGATAACATGGGAAATTCGATAGCAAAGAAAACACCATATTTCTAAACAGTTTCTGATATATATTTTGTTCCTGTCACAGATCAGCCGAGGACCTAGTAAGGTAGCCAATAAATTGACTTAATTAATGTTACTGTCCAATTTAAAACTTGAAATCGATTTTTTTATTGCTTAGAGGGATGGACGAGCTCACAGCCCACCTGGTGTTAAGTGGTTACTGGAGCCCATAGACATCTACAACGTAAATGCGCCACCCACCTCGAGATATAAGTTCTAAGGTCTCAGTATACCTATATACCTCTACGGTTTTTCCGAAATTCATAATAATATTACGCACGAGTTTTATTACGTCGAATGCTCGGAGTTAGCAGCATTCTAGCATCGATGGTAATCCCACGACGACGGCTGCATTTAAGTATAAACAAGCCGCTAGTCTGCGAGAGTCAGCTAATAAAAAAACCGGTCAGTCAAGTGACTGTTGTTACAAGTATAAAATTTCGCTTTTGTTGGTTAACTCTAAACGACGTATAACGGAAAAGATCCCATACCTACCTCAGCAATTAACTACCACATTTTGTGTATGACATATTTGTAACGTTTGAACATTTTTAATTTGATTCGGAGGATTCCGTCGAGGCGGTTTAGCCGGTCTTTGATAACTGGGTGAATCGTGGCGGACGACGCCTCACCTTTCGTCTGGTGCAGGTGCTGACCGAGCACGGATGCTTCGAAAAGTACCTGCACTGGATAGGTGAGCCGACGACAAGGTGCCACTATTGTGGACACGACCTGGACACGGTGGAGCATAATAATATGCTCGCTGTCTGCCCCGCTTGGGAGGTGCAGTGCCGTGTCCTGGTCGCAAAAATAGGACCAGACTTGTCGCTGCCTGACGTCGTGGCGTCGAAGCTTGGCAGCAACGAGTCCTGGAAGGCTATGCTCGACTTCTGCGAGTGCACCATCTTGCGGAAGGAGGCAACGGGGAGAGTGAGGCAAAGCTCTCCTCACTACCCAGAAAGCCGCCGCTGCCGCCGAGCAGGGGGTCGCAACCGGGGTCCCATCCGTGACCAGGCCCCCTAATTTTAGTAAAGATAAACCTAGTTATAAGTTATAGGACTAAAAAAGCTCTGTGTGTCCCAATCGAATATTTATTTAGGACAAATCACAGAAGTCTTGCTGTCAATACGAAAATACCATATCACGGAAATATGCACATGACTTAATTAGTTATGATTTTTAAATTGTAGCCACCATCGTCATATTCTGTAAAAAGGGTCTTACCTTACCACAGACTAACAGTATAACCGGTGAGAACAGGCCCACATCCGGCCATTTCAAAATCCGACATTGGGTAATGTGTATTTGAAATGTATATTATATTGAATTTCGAATGTGCGAACAGGCGTTTTCCAGTAATTTCTATTTCTCTTCTAAAACACAAACGCATTCTATTTTCTGATTGGAGAACAGCTTCCACCTCCTGATGTCACCACGTGGGAGTGCTAGACTTGTTGATGTTTATTATTACCAGTATCACACAGCCAGTTCATTTGCCTGTCCACCTAAGCAAATTGTATTCTGTTTGTCGTTTACATCATTAGGATAGTTCTACCAACATTTAAAACCGTAAATCCAGATAGTTCTTGTTACGTCTTCGCAGGTAATGAAACACGTACTTAATACATATTCACGAATGCCTTCCACTTTGCAGGGTGGGGTAGCCGTCGTTCTATAGAATGAAGACTTAGAACTCATGTCTCCAGGTGAGTAGCGGCATTTACTACTTACTGGTGGTAGGACTGCTTGCGAGTCCGCGCGGGTAGGTACCACCACTCTGCCTATTTCTGCCGTGAAGCAGTAATGCGTTTCGGCATCGATATGTAATATATCGATGCGTTTCGGTTTGAAGGGTGGGGCAGCCGTCGTAACTATACTGAGACCTTAGAAATTATATCACAAGGTGGGTGGAGGTATTTACGTTGTAGATGTCTATGGGCACCAATAACCACTTAACACTAGATGGGCCGAGAGCTCATTCAACAATCTGAGCAAATGAAAAACAAAAAGTTAAAATATTAAGTGGACGTCTCACCCTTTCAATGAGAACATATTAATACTAACAAATTAATTAAAAAGTTAACATTAAAACAATAAAAAAGAAAAAAAATGCACTAAGTACACTCGGGATATTTTGTGTCATCCCACTCCTGATCCTTCACTCCTGATCTTCAAACACACCGCCCACATATTTCTTAAATACTGTTATGAGACAAGAGCCTATAGACATCTTGGCACCGGTAAACTTCCCTGCCACCAGTAATTATGGTAATACAACGCCACCCAACATTTTAAACCTTATACATTAATCATAATTATTTTAATCTACAACAAAGAGTTCCGCATACGCACGCACCTTACATTGCGTATCTTTAGTTCTTATTTTAAGAAAAGGAGGATCTAGCATGAAAGAGCCCGCTTAGAAATTATAACAATTAATTATAAAAGCAAAATGAGAAATAGTCATAAAACAGGATTTATTCTATTACCTTTCATAAAAGGCCGTTTTATTACAAATAGGTTCACGTTTGATGTAATTAAGAACCGCCACTTTACCAATTAAAGACCAGCCGACGATTTAACATCTGTTTAAAAAACAGTCCAAAAGCGGTATGTAATTAGATTAATATTCCTAATTGTAAGCTCGGGGCGTTCTCAAAATAAATCAAGGAATCATACAAGGAACATTATCTTCGGGCCTTTTAGAGAATTGATTTCGGCATTCGGGTCCAAGACGCTAAACCTGTTTTTATTGTATTTTACATCGTTAGAATATAATATTCTAACCCATACCGCTCGATTTGAATTAAACTTTAACATGATAATTGCTTCCTAAGTGCATACATATATGAAGTAAATCCAAAAACGTATTTTGTTTCTTACCAGATTTGCCACAGCGTGCGCTCCCAAGCACCACGACTCTTATTCGATTAACTGTCATCTTCATTTCCGTGTGAACACTTCAAAACTTTGTTCAGTAGTAAATTATCTATGGTTCGCCGTCTTCGCTACCTAAATCGAACAATGTAGATCGCGTTGGCGGCAAAATCAGCTGTTTAACAAATATGGCGGACGCACGCGCGCACAACGCACCTGCTTGCGAGCGACTGCCGGCCAACGAAATTGGCGCAACGCACATTCAAGCACGCTTAATAGACTGAACAGCGACAGACATTTCTATAATTCGTCTTTGCTTTTTGCTGCATTAATATTTACAGTGCATGCATTGCACGAAAACAATGCCAAGGTGCGTAATTAAATACTCCAGCAAGGTTGGACGTGTTTCAAAACCTCCAACATATCCACAGCAGAATACAAAATAATGTTAAAATTCATCTTACAAACCATTCAAACATTGTAAACCGTACCATACCAAAGATAACTCAAGGGTTACAGTACAATTACAACACTGAACTTGTACCTCCACAACGCTTGCTCAGCTCAAGGATTCGTTTGGTGTTAGTCGTAAGATCACCCATTGCACATATTATTTACATTAACTTCATGAAATTCACGCCCGATAAAACAGTTAGGTACCTAATATATTACATCTGTTTTGAGGTGCAGTAAAGAGTACTTCATTCTAACTAATGTAGTACATTAATGAATACGCTATAATAAAATTGATTTGAATGTTGAAATGGATGCATGTTTTATCTAAAAAACGTTTGTTTATTTTAAAAAAATACATCGACTTTAAGTTTTGTAATCAAAGTGCATTCTCGAGTGGATATCGTACCAAAAAGTTTTTTATTCTTCACATAATCAATATTAGTTGCGTGTCCATGACTGTCCTGTTGTCTTAAGTTTTCTGTTGTCTGTTTTGTGTTCTCCGAAGTTCATTTTAACTATATTCTAACTTAAACCATATTATATATACAATGTTAACTTCATCTTCCTAAGAAGTCTATATCGATTGCAATGATTAAAACAGTGCAGGCACCTGAGCTGCGAAATAATAAAAAACAAAATGGCTGCCATTCTAGTATGGAGGGGCCAAGAGAAAATTGGAATAGTGATTTTTCGATAAAAATCCCCATATTTTAGCTCCCTTAAAGTGTTAAGGGAGCTAAAATATGGGGATTTTTGGTGCACGTACACATTGTATATATGTGAATAGATGTTTATATAGTAAGAAATTTTAATAATAAATCGAAACTCCTGAGCCCACAATTAGGTTAATACATAACTGTTTACCGTAGTAATCTTCGTTTTATCTTTAATTACCTACCAATAAATACTTGACACGATGTAATCCTATTTGCGAATCGCAATTACGAGGACCGTTACGTTTTAGCTGAAGAAAAAAAATTGACAAGCGTTTTGTAGGAATTAAGCCACTGACAGATAGACAGGAAACCACTAATGAAATAATCGATTTATCGATACAAAAAGTTTATAGTGTTTGTCGTTGTGCTATCAGCGGGTATTACGGTTACGAACGCAGACGGCGCACAGTGGGTCGATACTGTGATTTTAGTGACTTAGGGACCAACTTTGTTTTTTTATAAAATTTTTTATGTAGATAGATAGAGCTTGTTAATCTCAATAATAATTGTTTTGGGCAAAAATTACAAAAACTTTATAGTTTGGTCAGAAAAATGTGTTTTGTGATTTTTTTGTATGGAGCGGGTCACATTAAATTAAATTCCTGCTAAGTACCGCGAGGTCCCGCTTTGAAACTTTATTTTCCTTATACCTTATCTAGTCTACTATCATTTGATGCTATGAAGATGTGCATAAAGTTGCAACTCTGCCAAATAAATGGATCGAAAAAAATTAATAAATACATAGAATAAAAACCTTTATATTTTTTTTCGTAAGTGCTTTTAAGTTAAATTTGATATGGATTAGTAAGTAAAAGCACGTAATGATACCCATAATTACATAATACCTAACAACAATACATTTAGTAGGTCTCTAATTAAGCAATCTCTCNTGCACATGTTCATAGCATCAAATGATAGTAGACTAGACAAGGTATAAGGAAAATAAAGTTTCAAAGCGGGACCTCGCGGTACTTAGCAGGAATTTAATTTAATGTGACCCGCTCCATACAAAAAAATCACAAAACACATTTTTCTGACCAAACTATAAAGTTTTTGTAATTTTTGCCCAAAACAATTATTATTGAGATTAACAAGCTCTATCTATCTACATAAAAAAAATTATAAAAAAACAAAGTTGGTCCCTAAGTCACTAAAATCATAGAATCGACCCACTGTGCGGCGCGCTTAATCCGAAATATGTATGCCACTGGTCACTACACGCCATCAAGACTGCGATGTGATATAATGTACACTCGATACAAAAAACTATGAGTTATTGACCTGCGGAATGTCATTGGAAAACCTTTATTAAATCCTTCCTCCTCCTAAATCCTTCAAAATGTCTGTGATTTTATGTCAACGATGTTCGACAACATAGATCAGTCACCAATATGTTTAACATCGGATAAATAAATAAATAAATGTTCCGATAATCTAAAAACAAAGTGGCATTACCCAACCTCAGTTCACTTTATTAAAGCGTTTTTTCAAAAACACAATACACTTAATAATTAATTCATAATTTTATTTTTATTAATTTGTATGTATTTTTGTCATGATAGTACACTGACACAGATTCCTATCCGCTTATTAATTAAGTAAACTCAAAATTATAAAAGGACTTTTCAACAATAAATTGTACAAAAGCGAATACAACATGCCGTCACAAGAAGTAAAAAGCTGACAGTAGTTTCACCCAGCAAATAAGAATGGAGGAAAAAATCACATCGCAACAACAAAAATGACTTTTACATTTCATTTTCTTTTTCCTATCGAAATAAATTTTAAGGTTTCAAATCTTAAGTTTAACTAAGGACTACCTACATATTATTTAGAATAGTCACTAAACTTTTTTCAAATATATTATTAGACTACGTATTGTTTGATAGGCAAAAAAATTAACAATACAGGTTTTGTTTGAATTTAATAAGGCAGGTGAGGTAACGGTTTGCCGTGGAAGAATTTTAACAAGCTCTTTGTTGTCGTGATCTGATCCTTCGGCCTTTGTTTTCTACCAACACAATGAATGGCGCGACCCGTGATTGATTGGCTTCAGAACGAAAATGAGCCCCAATTCATTCCCTATAATTAACGAAAACAACCACTAGGTAGAGCTTAGCTCGGTATTTAAATTTTAGCTTTTAACGAAAAAACGTATTGTCAGATGTTCTTAGTCCGTAAGCCGTTTCCAAAGACAGACCCAAAATAAATTGCTCTGATCTACCTCGAGACAAAAGGTTGGAGTTATAAATAATCTCGATACATTCGATAGATAATCCTATACCTATTGTCATTTAAAACATGCATATTACGTTATTTACTTTTCCACAGATATTTCAGAATGAACCAGAAGTAATTTCTGTGATAATTTAATGTAAATGTAATCCTGCATGAAGTTGAAAGCAGCCGACGATGCGGTTCGAAAATTAAAATGCACGTACATGAAAATGCGAGTCAACGGTTCATAAAAAAAAATCAAAGACCTACCCTCATGTCAGTTCACATTACGAATGAAAATTATTCGTTTGATTTTAATTTAAAGTCGTTTTTCTCATTGAACTCGCTCTCACGATCGTGATGTTCTCATTAAAATTACCAAAACGAGAATAAGCGTGAATAATTACGTCAGCTGAAGTAATTGACTTGTACCCAGAAAGGATTTAAGAGCTGACAAAAACGAGTTGGCGACACGACTTGGAACGGGATATTAAGGAGCAGTCTCGCGATGAGTAATTTTTTGCCACATAGCAACTGAATTTTATTCGTTAGGCAATAAGTTACAAATTCGATTCTCCGAAGATCAGTTCGTGAACAGGATATCTTAAAGCTACGAAATAAAATGTAAGCAAATACGATCGCTAGACGACACCTGTGGAGATTGTAAGACTTCTTTGTGGTCACTCCTTCAGTTAAACAACCTACAGTAGGTTCAAACAAGTGCAGTGTTTGACTGGTGCTCATTTTTATTATTATTATTATTTAAACTTGTATCATTCTAACACATACATAATAGTATATCACTTCGTTCCAAAAAAAAAAACAAATTCTGTTTTGATAAGAGAAATTGGTACCAATAATTTTGTCAAAACATTGTTATCAATAATTTCAAATAGGTAAATCGTATTTGCTGTCACCGTATTCCTTTTATCAGTCACATATTTTTGTTTAGACCAACACCGTTACCTGATATTTTGTATTGGGTTATCGAAAGTTTGACCTACTAAACTCTATACCTTTACGATAAATTTCGTGAAATTTCAGAAGTGAATATTGAATTTGTGTTAGCAAAACCAGCTAAAAATTTTAATTGTATTTGTTGAATTATCAGTCTCTTCTATCAGTTATCACTATTTACTGGTGGTAGGACGTCTTGTGAGTCAGCACGAGTAAGAACCACCAACCTGTCTAACTCGCCTTGAAGCAGTAATAATGCGTTTCGGTTTGAAGGGTAAGGCAGCCGTTGTACTGTAAGAACTGAGAGTTACAACTCATGTTAACTTGGGTTAACTTTTACGGTATCGGAAACGTTAAAAAACTCACACTAAGCACACTGAACACCAAGTGGGCGGTAAGCATGTCCACCCATGAAAGCAATAAAAAAGTCATCTTGATTTTCGCATCATCAAAATCATTAAAAATCAGTTTTTATGGGAGTACTAGTTAATATATCAAGTAAATTTATGGCGAATAAAAGGAAACAAGAATGTGTATTAAATACGTACATAAAGCTGTGATGAGTGAAAGTATCTTTATATCAATAAAAAATAAGTACGGTTTTTTAAAACAGTCTGTAGGATCGTCTCCACGGGGTGACCGGAGAGTCCCGTCGCGGATCATTTTACAACATCCAGGATTCGGTAGCTACGTGTTCGTAATCAATATAATAAAAAATAAAAAACGATTAAAGTCGAAAAACTGATTTCTGTGGGTTACATTCCGAACGACTTTTAATATTAATAAGAATTAATGTATCCGTTTTTTTTTCTTAACCAATTTCAAAACTTTGAATTATTGGTCATGTCGGATTTTCACAAAAACCATCGATGATTCGCGTTAGTTTACCATTTGTTTATTTTAATTTATTATTTAAGCGCAACATAAATACCAACAAT